CTGGATATAAAATCAAAAAAGTTGTGTTTTATCTTTTCAATTTGTGATAAGGAAGGAAAGAATAAAACAAAGAGAGAGAGAGAGAGAGAGAGAAATTAGATTGATAGTTACTCCTCTTCAATGGCCACATCTGGGACCCAGATCATTTTCCTGGGAACCGTCAACATATTAATTCCACAGAAGTTTGAAGAATTCCATGTCAGGAATTCATTCCTCCATTTCTGAAAGGAGACAAGAAAAGGCTCAGGTTGGATGAGACTCAAAGAGCTGTGACAGTGAACCATGCTCCTGAAGTTAATGTATGTAGTGACATTACAATTATCCACCTTTCATGTGAACGTTCAGATTCTTACCATTTGTGTCTGGATGTGAGTGGTGACAGTTTGAGACTTCTCATCCTGCAGACAATCAGCAGCACCAAGGTGAGCACTCATGTGTATAAACAACAAAAACAGCCACTCCTCCAAAACACACCAACATGTCAATCATCTGCGACGAATGAAACGACTGGATGGGTTACAGCATGTTTCGTAACTTGCCAAAGAACTTGTGTTTTTGTGTGTCGTTGGTGCCGAACCGGATCAGGCTGAAAACCCAACATTTTCCCAGAGAATAATTAATGGATCTTGATGAAAAACCAGTTGAGTCGGGGAAATGTGGTGCAAAAATCCAGATGCAGTTAAATTAAATGTGGTTTAATTCAGGGACTGTCGGGCCTTGACTGAGGTATACGCTCTGTGAGGTCAATTCTAGTTCTTTTTATTTTTTAAATTATTCAATGCTATAAGGATGCAAATAGAATACTTTGACATATGAAAGAATTTAACATATTCACAAATGTTGTCTAAATGATGTGATCTTAGAAGCTTGAAGAGGGAAACATCTTTTAGGTTGGGTCTGCCTGCCTTTGATGTTACCACATTTCAGTTTTATGAGATTTACAACAGTGTTTCTTTACTTCCTGTTAATATTGTCTGGCTCTGTGATGGATGCATGTGAGCGGAGGGAGGAGTATTTTTTAATCGTTTTTTTATCCATTGCATCATTGTATTTATGAAAAGTGCTGTGCAAATAAAGTCTGACTCATTAATGTTTCACACTATATTTTCAATGTAAAATATAAATCTCAAAGTTATTATAGTTTCTTTGTTACTATACATACTTGTTCACTATTGTGAATAAAGCTGGTAAATAAATGTAGAGCAGAAAAAAGCACACACAAAAAAAAATCTGAAATGTGAATTATAAAGTCAGTTTGGCAGAAAAGACACTCACCACTTCTAGAATACCAAACACCACCATGTCCAGGTAAACAGGGGTTGTTGTAGTCCAGTTTTTCACGGGTCTCATTACTGACAGAGAGTTGTCTGTTTGAATCAGGTTTAAGTGATTCAGGAGGCTCATGTACGAGCAGTCTGGTGTCTCACTGCTGGAGACACCTGCAGCTGAGGAGGCGACAAGGAAAACACAGAATCTGAACCACCACACACTCAAACAGCACAAATAAGATGCAGCAAGATCTGTTATTATAAAAAACAGTTACATATGCTTTATTTTACTTAACTCACCAATGACAGCAAGAAAAGCGAGAGTCGTCAGCCCTGACATGACTGTTTGCCCTCAGCCCGACGTGAGCGAACGCTTTTAAACTGCAAAAAACTCACTTACACAAACAGTGGAACAATAGAGGATGTAGGTGCGGATGAAACGTCATTAGGAGTAATTAACTGCATTGTCAACGTGGAAAAAAACAGAACGCAGAAGAAATCAGCTGCACACTTCTATTGTCGACCTGCAGCTGAGGCAAAAAGTCAACATGAGGCGCATCTCAGCGAAACGTCCAGAGAGAGGGGAGAGATTTTTCTCAGAGATGTAGACTAGAAACGCATACAAGTGCAGTTTCAGTCTCCACACAGACTGATGAGGTCACCTTGAACTTTGATACCGAAAATGATATATTATATTACAGTTAATCTGAGTCTAAGTGACAACTGATCAAAATGTGAAGAGTCAGACTTTAAATATCACGTTTAAGAGGCCACCGTGATCTTAACCTTCAAAATCAATTCAGTTCATCAGTGAGTCCAAGAGAATGTCCAATGTTAAACTTGAACAGATTCTCCAGAGGTGTTCTTATGATCAAGCATTCAAACGCATGCTTGTTTGTGAGGTCACAGAACTCTTGACCTTTGACCTCCAAATTCTAACCAGGTCATCCTTGAGTCCAAGTGGATGTTTGTACCAGATCAACCAACTCAAATCTCTTAAAATTTAAATAAAACACATGAACAGTATTTAACAAAAGAAGACAACCACTTTACTTGTTGTGGATTTGAAAACACGTATATATTTAGGCGGAGCTTTCATTTTAATGATCATTTTTATAATGGATGTCACCCCCACGTGTTAAAGATCTCATTTCAATTCCTAATCATATTATTTTTACAGTTCATCATCATCTTCAGCCTTATTCTGTCTCATTATTCTCTTCCATGTCCACCATTAGTTTTTTCGGTAACGCTTTATATTAGGGAACACACAACGTGAACATATCCAAGCACTTGATTGTAATTCATGTACCACAACTTCCTTACTTACTATCAATAAGCAGTAATTATGAGGTTATTAAGGGAAAACTGTTTATCAATGGAGTAGTTGCAGAATAAAGTCATTAAGAATAAGGCATTGTGCTTTATAATGACTAATAAAGAGCCAATGTCTCTAATATCCATCTAGTCCAACTAGTTGTGGTTGTTAGTGTTCCCTAATATAAAGTGTTACCGTTTTTTTGCTTTTAGTCTTTCATTGCATTTTCCAATTGTTTTTTATTCCAAAAATAAATTCATTTGTTTACAAGTTTAATTTTTGAAATTTAAATCTGACTTGATTTATAACATTGGAGTTTTTTTGTAAACTGCAGCTGCTGTACAAACAATTCATTTCCCACCTTCCCACAATCATTTTCAGTCTGTTTAGATTCATAATTCACACCAGATATACAACACGTCTCCATTTTCTCCCACTGTACAAAAATGGAGCCAATAGAACTTGGATACTACCAGCACCAGTATCGAGGTCCCACTGATTCACACACTCCAGTCTCAAGTCAGTCTCAGCTGTCAATCATGACGTCTCAGCCCGTTTATACATCATCACAACTAATTTAAACCAAACTTATCATGAATGCTTGGACATATATCAGTGTGATAAGAAATACCTAAAATGACAGAAATAGAATCCCCTAGCGAAAATGATTTGAAGTGTGGGCTACTTTGACTTTTCCATCTGCTCTTGTGCAGGAGGCAGGGTTTATGAATTCGTTTGCAGCTGGCCAAATATCTAAACGTAATGAATCAGGCACACAAAACATATATATTTTTGACATATCAGACCGACATTTTCAGATTTATTTAAAAGTCCTGGATACATGTGTGAATGTTTTAAAGCGACTTCTCAGGGGTACACATCGGTTGGCAGCTGGAAGTCTTTGAAGGTGTAGAAGGAAATGTCTCCATGGTCCACCACAGCAAAGACCACTGGGACGTCTCGGCTCTGGGAGGCCAGCAGCTTGATAGCTCGCAGGTCGGGCACGGGGCCGTCGAAACTGAAACGCGGCAGAGATGGAATCACATTACGGAGTGTGGTCAGTTTCGGAGGAAGACAAAAGCCTGAAATCAGTTAGTCGATCAAGAGAAAATCTAACAACAGCGATATCTGGTCATCTGATCATTTATCAACTAAGAGAGGCAAGTTTTAATGGGAAATCTTGATTGTTTTCTTTTTAATTACATGAATGTGTAACCACAATTAAAACAAGACAAGACAGAGAGACAAAAGGGCCATTCATCTCGAATCACTGCAACCCGAGTCAGGTTCCTGTTGTTTCCTGTAAACCAATCCTGAGTAAACGTGGCCGTACCTGCACACACACATGTGGGAGGAAGGTTTCCCCGGGCTGTTCTTCTTGAACTCGGCCACCGAATCAGGTTGGTAAACACTGAAACAAATCCTCCACTCCTCTGAGCCTTTTAACCTGAGCACACAAAAGCACAATGTCGTCACACTGCATCACACTGGGTGAATGAGAACACTGCAGGGCGGCAAGTGCTTCTGGCGTTTTGTCTCACAGAGATTGATTGAATGGTTATTTGCTACAAAACTTAATTTATATATTTCAAGTCTCAAATTGAAATGTTCTGCTGCTTCCATATGAATAACTAAATCTTACATCATTCTGTATAATTAACAGTATTTGAACTGACAGACACGTGATGGACAAAAGAAAATATCTGGAATCATTCGTGACTCAGTCAGAACTCATCAGCGAATCCTGTGATTAAAAATTCACGTTCTAACGTCATACAGAATTTCCCAAATGTAAACAATGTAACAAAGACTGGAAGCTCGGTTCAGACTTTCAGGTGTGAAAACTTCTTGAGCTGATCTCAGGTTACTCATTTACTCACTCACTCATTTATTTATTTACCAGTTATCAGTGTGTAATAAGAAGAAGCAGAACAAGTGATACCTGGACGCCCCCTCGAGTAAATCTGTAGACTTGATCACACTGATTTTATCCAACAGCTCCTCTGGAATAAAAGAAATATGAGTGATGTAGTTTACATATTAGACTGAATTAACTTTGACTGAATGTTTAAGTTAAACTAGGTGCTTGTGATCTCACTGGTGGGGAGTGGTTGTCCTGGGTCGTGTAAAGGAGTGACTTCTCTGTTCCACAGGTGAGCTGGTCGACCCTCACTTCTCCCCTGTCGCCTCTTCAGGAGCTCCTGATACTCTGCCCAGTTTCTGCATTGCCGGACCTGAAGGAAATCAACAAAATCATTTCCCTGATGACATTTTTCAGTTATGTCCTGATGTCATGATTGATTTAAATTGTTGTCACAAACGTCTTTGTCTTTGTTGACATCCCGCCACCGCCCATCTTCTTCCCTCCTATGCTCATTTGAGGACATCGCCACCTTCCGCAAGTTTATTCTCTGCCTCCAGGGGGCAACATCACAGACTCCCACAGCCAAAGCCCCCGGCAGCAGAGAGGGGTCTGGAGATGTCAGACAGCTGGACAGATGTTCACTGGAGCCCAGGTCAGGGAACGGGATGGAGCTGAAGTCCCAACAGGGGGAAGCAGAGGGGGCGCCGTTATTTGATCCTCTGGCCGAGTCCCTGAGAACATCTGCTGCCCACCAGCTCCTGCCCCCACCTTCAACTGCTGGACTAGTGGTGGTCGCGGTGGAGATCTGGACCTCCATAGTCTCTGGAGAGGTTGACACTGGAAGCTTTGTGTCCTCCTCACTTTTATCTTCCATCATCCTCTCAGTTCTGTCAGTGGAAACTTCTTGACCGTCGGTACAACTGCATCAAAAACAGTGTGTGGCCCTTTAGGAGCGGCAGTACAATTTTAACGAGGTGGATGGACTCCGTAGAGTTTTAAATGTTTTCATTTTCAATTTTCGACAGTTCCCTGAATTCGATGATTAGTTGATGAGAGAATAAAAATGTTATCGATAACAAAAACCACTCAAGCAAGGACACATTATTGCATGCAATGTCTTTTTGTCTCCATTTACTGTGTCATAATTTGACATGGAAAAGAAATTGAAGCGTGCATAGGTCGTCTGTGCTGAACCTGGGCGCCATCTTGAATCGGTTCTCGATTGGTGATTAAAAACCACATTGATACATTACGTTTTAATGTAAAATCAATATCCATCCACATGAGCACTGGACTATTCATGTGGTCATGTTTTAAACAGGAAGCAGATTGTCTATTCTGCTGTTGGTTGCTTAGTAACAGAAAATACTGCAAAAGAGGAACAGCAATGGTGAAAAGTAAGAGCAGAGATTTCTTTTTTGGGGGGACAACTGTTACTGTCTGCATCATCGTTTATAAAAAGTCTATGTTTCTGTTTGGCCAGACTAAAACACAACCCCTGAGTTTTCTAACTAAAGCAGCAGCGTTTCCAAAAGTCTCTGTTTAAGTCATTCAAAACCTGCGAAGTAGTGTGGATGGCAGGCGTAACCACAGAAAAGGGCATTTCAAAACTCAAACACAGTAGTGGGGATGAAACATGAAGGCTGTCAGGCGTTTTGCAGTATGAGCCCCCAAATGACTCAACCTGCTGTGATTAGATTTCTAAATCTATAAATGGATTTAAATCTTTTCTTCAAATGTTCTTTATTGAAATTCCTATCACCTTATTTTGTTTTATCCTTTTGGTGTTGAAAAGGTGCTTTGCATATTAAGCTCATAATCAATATCATTTCTGCATGATGCACAGGGCCACTGTTTTACCTGGATGTTGGGGTGGAGGTGGGGCTGACGCTGCGTTTCCTCTTCTGTTGCCTTCCTGCTCTATCATGAGACTGAGGCAGGTTCAACTGCCTCAGGTACGACGATGGCTCCGAACTGTAACAAACCACAAATAATAAAGGCTGAGCTCATTTTTGAAACCTAGACCCCTGTTATTTATGATGGCAGGGATGATGGATGGAGGTTTGCTTTTCAATGTGTCTTACTAGACACTGGAAATTAAGTTTTTGATACCTGGGACAAAACCTGTGCACCACATAGCCAAGCCTCTTCAGATGCC